AAAAAACTTAAATGATTCCATTGCATAAGTAAATGGGACAGTTGAAATTTAGCTCAGGAGCATTCATGTTGCTTGTAGATGTTACTACACTTCAAGTGAAGTAAACCTGTGGCAAATTCAATTGAATGGGTATGATTTGGAAAGGCACAAATTGCGTCAAGGCACAGATCTGGGGAAGAGTTCAGAAAAAAATCTGCTGCATTGAAGGTTCACAGAATCATGTAGCCTCCATTATCCATAATGGAAGACGTTTGAAACAACTAGAACTCTTTCTAGAGCTGGCCTCCTGACCAAACTGAGCAACTGATGGAGAAGGGCCTTGTCTAGACTGGTGACCAAGAAGCTGATGGTCACTCTAGTTGAGCTCCATGAACATATATGCAGATAGGAGCAACCTACAGAAGGACAAACATCACTGCAACGCTCCAACGATCTGGGCTTTATGGCGGTGTGGCAAGACTCAATCCTTTCTTCAGTGAAAACACATGAAAACACTTGGAATTTGCAAAAAAGCACCTAAAGGAACCTTAGACTGTGAGAAATAAGATTCTCTGGTCTGATGGACCTCAATTCCAAGCATCATGTTTGAAGGAAACCAAGCACTACTCATCACCTGCAGAGTACCATCCCAAAAGTAAAGTGTGCTGGTAGCAGCCTCATGCTGTGGGACTGTGAATGTCCTTGAGTGGCCCAGCCACAGCCTGGGACTGAACCCAATCAAATATTTCTGGAAAAACCTGAAAATGTGCATCTGCTCCCATCCAAGCTGACAGAGCTTGAGAGGTGAGGAAAAGAATGGAAGATAATTGCCAAATGCAGATGTGCAAAGCTTGTCGCATCATACCCAAAAAGCCTTGAGGCTGTAAAGGTACTTCACACACATACAGCATATATTTTGAATATATTTACATGTATATATTTATATCCATATAAATTATATCATATATAAATATATTTAATATATAAACGTAACATATTTTTCTTAAATATATACATGCATGTGTGTGTATTTAAATATACATAATAAATATACACAGTACACACATATTATGTAAACAAAAACTTTTATTTTGGATGTGATTAATCGCGATTAATCGTTTGACAGCACTAGTATATATCTCTTAAATATTTTCATTTCACAAGTTCACAAGTTTTGCCACAAAAACCCTCATCGCAACATCCCAGTAGATGGGAAAATGACTTTCCAGACAAGTGAAAATCTGTGCGCCTGACTAACAGATTTTTTTTTTTTACACAGAAAACTATCTCCCTTGAAACTTACCTTGCCATCAGTGATGTATTTGCAGCTCATTTTAAGGAACTTTTCCGTAAGCGCCTCTTCTTCCTCAGAGGTGGATGACACCACTCTGGCTGGCCGAGGGGGCCCGTGGCCGGGGCCGGGAGTGCTGTGCCTCCGATGGACATCATCTGAATCCTGTCGGGATGAAGTTTGAGTGAGAAACAGCTCAATCAGTGGTAGCCCTCGCCACATCACACTGAATGCTGCACACACACACACACGCACACAGCATAACAAGGAGGCTTGTAAATAACAACCCATTAAGGCATAAAGTGCCTTGAGGGCTCTCTGCTGTAAGAAAGCTGACAGGCGGAAACCAGGGAGACCGAGGCAGGTTTCCTAACATGATGCAGCACAGGTAGAGTGACTGTCAGCATCTTTGTGTGTGTGAGAGCTCATTATAGGACAAGAAAAAGGAAAGTCACTGCTCACTGAAACTTGGTGCTGACACACCAATACAAATCTAATGATTATAAAAACTTACTTTCAGCTTTACAAAATGTCACATACATTGCAGCAGAATCCTGAGCTGAAATGTGAACAAACTGAGACTCCTGGGTTTGAGCTAAAATCCCATTTTCAGATATTGAACACATGGTTGACTCCTCGCACAATGCATTCCAACTTCTCACACAAAGAGCTCAGTGAAACACGGACACACTGAGGCACCTTATACTTGACAAACAAACATCACATGCTCATTTAATACTAATCAAAGAAAACATGAAAGATATGCTTAAAAGTAATGAGGACTGTCACGCTGGCAAGAAAGAATGCAAAACATAAATGAGATTTGAGCGCAGACAGTCACATTTACATTCATTACATGAAAAAGAGCAATTCGGACATTCTGCAAAACATCTGTGTTTTACAGAAAATAGAAAGTCGCAGAGGTTAGAAATGACATGAGGGTGACAAAAATAAACATTTCATTTTCAGATGAAATGTTACTGTAAGACTGAGCCAAATATACACTACCGTTTAAACCGTATTCACCAAGGATCCATTCAGATAATTAAAATTGACAGTAAATTTATTATTATTATAAAATTCATTTATAATGTCACAAAAGATTTCTATTTAAAATATTTCATTTGAACCTTCTATACAAACAAAGGGTTAAAAAAAGGTTTCCACTAAAATATTTAGCAGGTACAACTTTTTAAGTTTGATGATGATAATAATAATAATAATAATATTTCTTGAGTACCAAATCAGCAAATTATAATGATTTCTGAAGGATCATGTGACACAGAAGACTGGAGTAATGATGCTGAAAATTCAGCATCGCATCATGGGAATAAATTACACTTTAAAATATATTAAAATAGAAAACCGTTATTTTAAAATATCATAATATTCTACAATTTTATTTTATGAAAATGTAACCTTGGTGAGCATAAGAGACTTTGTTCAAAAACATTGTCCCACAGTAGTGCAATATTAAGGCAAACATGAATGTAGCAAAATGGTGAACCCATGCTCTGCTTAACTCTGCATGTTTTCCCAGCACATTAATATTACATGTCTATAGTCTATAGACAACTATATAAATGTAAGGCTGCTGTGACTGACTGCACAGTTTAGATGCACTCCACTGTGTGTGCATAATCAGTATGCTGAAATGCATAAGAGAAACATGAATATTGCATGAATGTTCATGTGAAAGTGTGTGCTTTCATGTAATGTGATGGTACTGTAACTCCAGGCTAGTAAAATTACAGGCATATGTGTGTGCATTCTTATTCGTGAGAGGCATGTTAATACCAGAATACATGTGAAGTTAGTACAAGCGAGTGCAAGTGTGCCTGTGCATGCTTTCTCCATTGATGACTCATAAGGAAATGCAAGTGTGCACCCCTGAATCTCTGGCAATGGGCAGCATGACCAGCAAATCCATGACCATATGGAGCCGGAACTACACACAGGGACACACACTAATCCAACAGAGGTGACACAATCCATTTGGCAACCTCAAAACGGCAGTCTAGGACACATATAAGACCCTTAAAACACACAAGGACAGATGAGCTCACAAGTAGCCATGGTGATCTTTCAAAGATATCTTAGATATCCAATATCACCAACTAGGGACAAACATAGCCGGGAGGAATGCAATCTGTCTGAATACAACAATTACTTGAATCTCTGGCTTTATAAAGTAATAACAGCTGTACCCAAAAGGGAAATTCATCACCACCCCCTTGTGGACACAAAACAGTTTGAGACTAAAGAAATAGTTCATCCAAAAATGAAAATTCAATTATCATTTACTCAGCATTATGATGTTGCAAATATGTACAGTGTTTATGGAGTACTGTACAAAAGGAGAAATATTGAAGAATCTGATAGCTATATTTTCCCTTTAGTTATAATTAATGGCAACTGGAGCTTCAAACAAACACACAAATATATAATTAGTACATAAGACTTATGCATTATTATTCAAGTCAATTTTTTAATAGGCGCAGCAAAAAAGAAAAGGAAAAAAGCCTAACAAGTAAAATAACGCAAAATAAAACAAACTAAGACAAAACAAAATGAGAGAAGACAAAACAAAAAAAAATTAGGCAAAACAAAAAGACAAACTAAATCAAAATAAAAAATAAAACAAGACAAGGAAAAGTGAAAAATAAAACAAAAACCAAATGAGACAGAACAATACAAAACAAGACAAAATAAAAAAAGGGAAGACAAAAAACACAAAACAAAACAAAAAAAGCAGGATTTCTTCTAACCAACTCAAGTTGAATTTGAATAAATATGTACATATACAGTATATATATATCGATCAAAGCAGGTCTTTAAAAGGTCTTCAAGCATGCAAAGGAGTTTGGACGCTGATTTGGATCTCTTGCCCAATGTAATTGGACAGGCTCAGCTCAGTGACTACAAATTAAAAAAGCTGGTTAAAATAAATGGAAAATAATTGAATCGTTGTAAAAATGCAAGGTATGCAAAGTAATAGTCTATAGCACTTCTATTGCACTTTACATGGTCTACTGAATAAATTAAGACGTAGATTGAATTAGTGTGAAATCATGTTCCAAGCCGTTTCACTTAATAACTTGCTGTTTTTGAGCTGAATAAGTCTTCATATTATACTCAACGGCCCTTAATGAAACCCAACTTATTACGTGGATTACTGAATTTCTCCATCCTTGTTCCAAATAATGGAAAAATATGCTTTTACCTCACACTGAGCTACAGAATATCAGATTCAGTTTTTTGGACTTCAGAACGGCACATTAGAAAACTAAATGAAAATGCTGCATGCTCATGAGACAAAAAAATGTGCTGTTAACATTATGCCACAATTCTTCTGGCTTGAGTAACAAGACCTCGGCATTCAAAATCCATATTTTCATTTAAAACAATGATAAATGACAAGCATAAGCATGTCCTCTTGCTATATAAGATCCCCCTGGAAGCTTTGGATGAAGACTGAGATGGCACTTACTGTGGTGGCCTTCTCCAGGTCAGCCTCTGAAGAGGTGGGGGAGAGGGGGCTGATGGGACTGAGGGAGGGAGAGCTGTCTGCACTGGAGATATATTCCGGATCATGGACATACAGCACCTAAAAAGCAAGACACGCACAGAATATATATTTATATCATCTCACATGCACACACCAAATGACATTTTTCCCAAGTAAAATGAAAAGGGCTAATGAAACCGGTAAAACACAAGCAGACATGATATACATTTCATTAAAAAATATTCCGTTCATTTCTCAAAGATATAATCTTATCACTTCTAAACTCCCAAGATGTTTAAGTGGGAGAGAAACTTTTCATAAATGGACTCACTGACTGATAGATCTGTAGTTTTTGTAAAATAAGATAAAATTAATAATGGGATGATACAGAATAAAAGACTAGGCAGAATAAAATAGCCAACAGTTTCTATGCAAAACATTAGATTTTCATTTGATCAGAAAAACAATTTTTGTTTCTAATTGTCACAAAATGCAAAGGTAAACACCACCAACCTATGATAAAATACTGCGGCTATAAATGCAATAGTTTAATATATTTGTAATGGCTCATCAAGATGTTTATGCAAAAGATTGGCTTGCTTTATATATATATATATATATATATCACCTCTTTTGGCCTGCTTGGCTCAGGCTTGGTTATATTTTTCTGCTTTTCCCACACCTCTTAAACAACTGTTGCGTACTCTAGGAATAAAACCGATCTAAATCAAACACACGTCGACACATTAAAAAAAAATATTAAAAAGCATAAATCAAGGCATATAAAGTGTTTGACCTCGAACAAAACAAAATGTTAAATAAAGAGATGAACTGCCATTCACAACTCAGCAATGGAGCTATTTACTGAACAAACAGAACTTTTATTCTTCTACAAAAGCCACAGTTCTTACCCAGAGGACTATTTCTCAATTTTAAACGGTCCCAGTTCTTACCCTCAGGATCACGATATCTCTGCTCATTAATGTGAAACTGTACAGTCACCACGATGAATCTGCCACTTAAGGAGGCATTTGAAATTTCAAAGAGGGCATATTTTTCACCTTACCCTTTATTACACTAGACTCTGGGAAAAGCAATTGACTGGAAGAGAGTTCAGCTGGACATAGAGACCATCTGCTCTGAAAATTAAAAGACCATACAGTACCTTGCCAGGGACCACAGCGCGAGAGAAGAGTTTGTTGAGCTGGACGAGCTCATTGGGAGTCGTGTCAAACTTCAACGCAATGCTGTTGAGTGTGTCCCGGGACTCCACCTAGAGTTGAGGCACACAAAAAAAAGTTAGATATTGTTTCGTTAGCTTAAAGCAAAAAGTTCTCAAACGAAGACATCAGCTTCTACAGGGCTGACTAAGCATTTGAATCTGTTGGAACAGCAAAACAAGGCCCTTGTGAAAACCAACCAATGCGTTTTATGAGATGTTCACCTGTTATGAATCATCTCAAATTACGTAGCCATATACAACAATACTGGGAAATGTTGAAGTGATTCACATTTGCATATTAAAAATTCACAAGTTTACATGGTTAAAAATAGTTAAAACAATGTAAATGCAAAACTGTTCGACAAATCTTTCAATTTTGGGATAAGGAAAAAAAAAATCATTTCTTAAAAGCTATATAGTATCTTAACCACCAAAGATGTTTTAGAGGGAGAAACATTTGTTAAATGTCTTCACTAGCTGATAAATTTATAAAAACAATCAAATTAAATAAAAATTATTTTAAAAATAAAATTAAAATAAAACTAAATAAATACTAAAATAAAATAAAATAAACATTTGAATATAATAAAATACAAAAAATCTAATACAAACAATAAAAGAATAATTTATAATAAAATAAAAATAGGAGTGACATTTTAAAATCAATACTGGAGTGATAAACAAGATAAAATAAAGCAGAATGAAATACCCAACAGTCTTTGCAAAGCAAGGCCCTGAAAACCAACCAATGTATTTTTACAGATGTCCACCTGTAACAAAATGCATCATATAAAATTATGGTTACCATATAGTTCCTGTTTTGTCTCCCATTAATCTAAAACAATGTGCAATATTAAAAGAAAATAGTGCTATTTTGTTTTCATAATTTCTACATTCGTCCAGTGTTGCATGAGAATAAATAAACCCACGCTACCAAACAGTTTAAATCCCCCTTTTGTATGATTTTGTCCATTTAAACCTAAACTAAACAGTTTTTATATAATCTATAACTCTCTAGGTGTCAAGTCAATATCTTTCAAGAGCACACATGGTTTGATTGTGGCTGAAGCCAGAGTGCTAACCTTCAAGATACAATATCTGTCCTTCAGTGGCATGGGGAGATGATTGTCTACTTTGCAAATAGCATTCAAGAATCTCTAAATGTCAGGTTAAACATACAGAAGAGCGCACAGAGGAGCGTATTGAGCTGCCTGCATGATGACCACGGAGTCTGAAAAGCTTAAAAAATAATAATAAAAAACACTTCACCAGATAAAAACAAAAGCATCTTTATGCCACAAAGGATCTTTGACAAATGATTTGATGAAACATTAAGGCCGGGACACACCAAGCCGACGGTCGGGCTAGTTTGTTTGGTGTGTTCCACTCGTCGGGCTCACGTCGGCGGCAGTTTGCCCGATTCAACATGTTGAATCGGCGTCGGGGTTGTCGGGACCGTCGGCATGAGTGAGAGCTCTGATTGGATGTTCAGTTTAGCGAACGAGTCAGTGCCCGAGAATTAAAGCGAAAGTGATGAAAACAAACACGTAAATGAAGGCGGTACAGACAGAAGGCTGTTTAAATGTTACATGATCTTTCCCAATCATTCTAATACGTGAATGTTTTCATAACAACATGAGCCGCTTAAAATGATTAAAGTTATCAACGTTACTGATATTCAAAATGGTAAGCAAGAGCTGCTTTGTTTACGTTTCGTATCTGCGTTTATATCGTATATCTTTGTTTCCGTTTCTCATTTAAATTTTTTATGTTTATGCTTTTCAAAGAAGTCTCTAATGTTCACCAAGGCTGTAAAACCAGTAATATTGTGAAATATTACTACAATGTAAAATAACTGTTTTATATGTTAATATCTTTTCAAATATAATTTATTCCAGTGACGCAAAGCTGAATTTTCACCATTATTACTCCAGTCTTCAGTGTCACATGATCCTTCAGAAATCAGTCTAATATGCTGATTTGCTGCTC